ATTATTATTATTATTATTATTATTATTATTATTATTATTATTATTATTATTATTATGTATCTAAATGGAAAATGAAGCAAAGTTGTAGAAATTATGATGCATGATACATACTTCTCATTACGCAAATAAATGTAGGGAAAGAAAACACGTAATCTCTAATTTGAAAGCCTGGCTGTTGAGATGACTGTAGCTTTTTTCATTTCGTTTTGTTAAAAAATGGCTTTATTTGTTCCTTTTCCATCTAGTTCTTTCGTTTTCTCAGTGATTGTTAAGTAATTTCGTTTTTTCATTTCTCTAAACCATCCAAGTCGTTCGTCCTTCTTTCGTACACAAAAGTTTCTTTCGTTTACGAAAACAATGCCCATCACTAAGCAAGATTTTATTTGTTTCATTTTTAATATTATATTGCGGAAAACACTCAATTTTGTTGGTAATATTGAATTAATGAAAAATGGTTAAAATTTCGAACATTTTAAACAGCATAGATAGATAGATAGAGCTATATAAAGATTTATTTGACTAAATAGGCACACTTTTTTTCTATTTGTTTTGAATGAGAGGCCCTTGTTCAGCGATAAATACATAATATATTAAAATAAAAAAGAAACAAAAATAATTTAGAACTAAAGGAAAGCAAAGAGAGGTAGGTGAAGGAGAAGGAAATGAGTAGATAGAGGAAAAGTTATTGAAGAATAGAGAGGAAAAGGAGTAGATAGAGGAAAAGGTATTGAAGAATAGAGAGGGAAATGAGTAGATAGAGGAAAATGTATGGAAGAATAGAGAGGAAAAGGTGTAGGTAGAGGAAAAAGTATTGAAGAAGAAAGAGGAAAAGGAGTAGATAGAGGAAAAGGTATCGAAGAATAGAGAGGAAAAGGAGTAGATAGAGGAAAAGGTATTGAAGATTTAAGAGGAAAAGGAGTAGATAAAGGAAAAGGTATTGAAGAAGAAAGAGGAAAAGCTAGGAGTAGATAGAGGAAGAGGTATTGAAGAATAAAGAGGAAAAGAAGTGGATAGAGGAAAAGGTATTGAAGAATAGAGAGGGGGACAACCCAGCACATTAAATATATACTTTGTTAGGTTAAATTATGTTATGCTATATAACAGGGTAAAAGGGATAGAATCAAGATTTAGGAAGAAAAGTAAATCCGATTATTACAATGAAAATTACTATGTTCTTCAAGAAAACTGTTTCTGCTTAACTTGTTTTAATACTTGTTAGGGAGCATACAGATTTTACTTCATCATCTCTTTTAATTTTAGAATTTCATTTTTTATAAATTCTTATTTATGTGGCATCATTTCATCCCATCCGGAGCGTATACGGAG